AGGGAAAATATTTATCCCTAAGCACCATACTAAGCATCGACTCTGGTTTGTCCACCACCCTCCAACCAATTTTCGCGAGCATGACCAAATTGAACCCAACAAGGTCACGGAATCCCAATCCTCCCATCTTCTTACTCTCAATCAATTTATCCTATGCCACCCAATGACATCCCATGGTATTCTGTTGATTCCTCCAAAAAAATTGAGCAATGACTCGCTCCATCTCTTTACACATAGTCACAGGCAATTTAAAACATGCCATAGCATGATTCGGCATCGCCATTGCGACCGATTTAATCAATACTTCCTTTCTCGCCGGGGACAAAAATTGTTCCGCCCATCCATCAATGCGACTTTCCATACCATGTCGTACTGATTCAAATACTGCCTTCTTCGAGTGTCCAAAATCTGCCTGAATCCCCAAATATTTACTAAAGTCATCTCGTGCTTGAATATTCATTCTCGACACAATACGTTTCTTATTCTTCTTAAAGCAACCTTTCCCGAAGAAAATAGAACTTTTCGCCAAGTTAATAATTTGCCCAGACTTCCGACCATATTTCTCCAAAATCTTGATAACGTTCCCCGCCTCCTTTTCATCCGCTTTACAAAGTACCACCGAATCATTTGCGAAAAACAAATGAGAAATGGCGTTGGCTCCAGGTGCCACCCGCACCCCACTAATGAGCCTTACCATTTCATTTTTCTGAATATACACTGATAACGCTTATGCACATATAAGAAAAAGAAAAGGTGACAACGGGTCGCCCTGCCTCAATCCCCTCTGGGGTCGAAAAAACCCCGAGGGAACACCATTGACCATCACGCTATACGACACCGACGATATACACTCACAAATCCAAGAACAAAAAAATGGATGAAAACCCAAATTCCTCATAACGTCAAGGAGAAAATGCCATTCCACTCGATCATATGCTTTTGCCATATCGAGTTTGACCGCCGTTCTACCATCCTCACCCTCCACACCTTGTTTTAAGGAATGCAAAATTTCGTGAACAATCAAAATATTATCATGCATCTGTCGCCCAGGGACAAAAGCCGATTGATTACCACTAATAACTCTGTCCATCACATTTGTCAGCCTTCGAGACAGAACTTTAGCAATAATTTTATACAAAACATTACATAACGCAATCGGCCTAAGTTCCGTCATTTTGCGCGGATTCTTCACCTTCGGGATTAAAACAATATGTGTGTGGTTAACCTTCTGGAGCAATCGCCCCGAATGATGAAAAGCCTGGACCATCCGTATAATATCCTCTCCCACCACCTCCCAATGATCCTGAAAGAAGCCAGCTGTGAATCCGTCAGGACCAGGAGATTTGGTAGCAGGAATTTGGTGCGTGGCATCTTTAATCTCCTCAACAGAAAATGGCCTAATAAGTTCTGCATTCTGTCTCTCATCTACCTTCATGTCCACACAACCCGCCACCTCCCCTTCCATCCTTGCACCACCAGATTGAAATAATGTATTAAATTAATTAATCACAAATCTGCTGAACATAAGCCAAATCATTGTGTCATACACCATTATCATCCTCTAGTCCTAAGATCCGATTGCTTCTTCTCCGTTGAATCGTTTGAGCATGAAAAAACTTTGTATTTTTATCCCCTTCTCGGAGCCACGTATTCCGAGATTTAACTTTCCAATATAATTCTTCCTCCTTAATTGCCACAGCCAAATCTGTCTCCTTCCCCCTGATATAGTCATGCCGCACATCCTCATCCACCAACCCCTTCCTAATCTCCTCACGAAGTTCCACAATACGACATTGCGAATTCGGTTTCATGGCCCGCTTCCATTCTCCCAACTAGCGCCTGGTTCCCTTAAACTTTTCACATACCTTGAACACTACTGACCCCACCACCGAATCCCTCAAAGCATCCTTGATAATCTCCCGACATTCCGATTTTTCCCCCATCTAGAATCATACGTGAAACGCCTAGGCACTCTTAGAAAATTCCCTTCGGAGGACATAACTAACATGGAGTGATCTGAGCCCTCAAACTCCACATGCTTAATTTTCACATGAGGAAATAAATTGATCCACCCTGCTGTTGCCACCCCACGATCAAGTCTTTGTTGAATCAGCCCCTCATCCCGCTTATTACGCCATGTGAACGGAAAACCTTTAAACCCGAGATCAAGCAACTCATTCTCCGCTAAGAAATCTCAGAAATCCCTCGTACTCGCCATGGATCGATAGTTCCCTCCATCCTTCTCCTCTTCATCCACAATATCATTAAAGTCCCTAATTACCAAACACTTTCCAGCCATTATGCTAATCCGCTTACCCAATTCATCCCATTGTCTCTTCCTGCGTTTGTCGTCAGTACTTGCATAAACCGTAAGCAACGACCAGTCCGACTGAAATGGATCACTCCCCACCCCCAATTCAATATAAAAACTACTCCATACAATACTAGAAATGTTTGCACATCCTTCCAAAAAACACATAAACCGCCACCTATACCCTTTGGTTCCACCGGTTGCATAAAATCCATTCGTAGTAACTTACGTAGATATTTGTAATGATCACTCTTATTTTTTGTTTCAAGTAAAATCACCACATCGGGGTTGTGAAGCTGCACTTACTCCACCAAAGCATCAACTGTCAAGGAACCCCCAATTCCTTGATAGTTCCAACATAATGTTTTCATGGCGACCGTGGAGACCTATCACGGCTGGTCTCCAAAGCCTCAGAAAAATTAAGAGCTCGTTTCTTGCCCCTGGTAGTGTCATCCCTATACATCCCCTCAGTCTCATCCTCCACCACCTCACTTCTCCTCTTCCGACTTCTGTTCGCCTTACTTAAAGCATTAATAATTGGTCCCAGCTCAAAAGGATCCGAATCCTGAGTTACAGTATATCCCTTTCTATTTTCCTCCTCCTGCCTCCTTCCTCCCTGCTGCATCCCCTTCATAGCACTCAAATGGTGCGCATTCCCCAGATTCCCATCACCCTCCATACCCAGTGGAATATTCAAATCAAATTTTACCGACCGGTGTACCTTCACTACATCCTCCCCTATTCTCCCCAGAGGCTCATGAAAGTCATACAAAACTACATTCTTCACACCCGGAACCACAACTTCACCCCGACCAATGAGGCCTGCATCAAAAGCATGCTTCCGCGCTTTACGAGCCTCCTCTTCCGCAGTTTGACGTTGGTTCTATAGATCCTCTCGACTCCCATTCTCTGCTCCATACATACTACCAACTGCAACATATGTCTTCGAATGTGAGATCATATTTGTATCCTCACTACTACCCACAGTGGGACTATCATTCCTTCGGCGACTGTCCTCCATTCGCCTTCCCTTCAACCCAACCCCCATATCACCATGCATGCCCTCATGTTTCAAATCCCCATCTCGTTTGATCTCCATAGATCTCCGACTGCCTTCTCCCAAAATTAGATGCTTAGTTCTACGCGACGGTGAACGAATAGGGTTCCCTCGTAAGTCCAACCGAGCCTCAAACCCCTCATAGAGCAGTACTCGCCTTGGTTCCCCATGATTATCCTCCATAGACATGCCTTTCCCTTCATGTAATTCATTTGCCTGACAAGCCCTAATCACATGCCCTAACTTCCTGCAGTACAAACAATAATTGGGCAATCCCTCATACTGAAATTTGACCCACACTCGCCCATCGTCTGGAAATTGTACTATTGTCCCTCGCATCAGAGATTCACGCAAGTTAAAGCGAATACGTACCCTAAAAAACTGTCCAATGCAGTCCCGACTAGTGGATTTATCAACTGTTATAACCCTACCAATTGTGCCCCCTATCGCCGTGGCCGCCGCCGCCGTCATACTCAGCGGTAACACCTTATGTATATGCACCCACATATCCCCCATGGACAGATCCCTCCATCGTTCGACGCTTCTATATGTGCATTCTCCCACCATTACGAAATAATCCCTGAATGTCCACGGGAAATTTGAGTCAACCACACGCTGCATGTCACTCTTTGCCACAAACCTAATCAGGAACCACCGATCCCCTAAGACGCGGATAGAAACCCCCTCATTCCCTCGCCACAGCGAGGTGAAGCAGTCGATAAACGCATCCGCATTCACAGTCCTCTCAGTTAGCACTTCCGCCATCAAAATGTACTGAAACCCTAACAAGGCACCATCCACGTCCTTCCGACCGATGACCACTCCCTCCCTCTCTCTATCAGTGAGATGGAGTTTATCCCCCAAAGACTGACCTAATTCCTCCATAAGCCCTATCATACTCGAGACCTCCATCGCAACACGCCGTCGACAAAACCCTATTTTTTCAAAACCCTAATCACCAATTTCGTTTGCTCCGACTTTTTCGGACATAACCTCCTTACGAGGACTATAGTTGGTAAACTGCTGCTAATTTGTTACGAGAAATGTTAACATGGAATGATAGAATTATATACTTGTATTATTTTAAGATATATCGTAGCAACCATCTATCTTACTTTTGTTGAGATGCCTAGAATGATATAAGGTAACTCTTGCCACCGAATTGTTATTGAGTCATTGATCTTTGTTTTGATTAGTTAAATCACAATTCAAACGACAAGGGAAACACATATTTGATTGGTTTATATTATGCTCATTTCTTCATTTTATATTATAGGAGTCAACTAATAATTAATTCTTAAGAAATTCATGAAACATATCCATACAAATCTATAATAAAAATTATCATATATCTGTCAAAATCCATTATAAGATTGTAGAATCTATTAAAATTCCTTGAAATCTGTTACTTAAAAAAATTCATTAAAATTCTCTAAAATACAAATTGACGACACCCTTAATGTAGAATATTGTTTTATTTTATACTAATTAATTAAAGATTTTACATTGAATGCCAACTGTTTCACCAATTGTATTTTTACAACATATTCAAGCAAGTTTCAAGAAAACAATGTGCAGATGCAGCCCCTTTGCCGTGTGTTACTAATCTGACTTGCCATTATATTACTCTCTTGGAAGTTGACACCTTTACCAAATACCGTGCCAAAAACTGCAAAAGACCAAACGTTCAAACTTCAAAGTCCCAAAAACCAGCAGAAGCAGCACAGAAGGAACCAAGAAAATTCATCATTTCTTTTTCGCAGCCAAAGCAGAAAAAGCATAAAATCCTTTGCTTCCATTAACAGGTGAGAGCAGACGAATCAACTTTCTCCAACTGACACGCGTTTTGATTCTTAAGTACGTATATATATGTTGATGCAGATGTTGAGAGCCACCACCAAGCTTTTGCCATATCTTTCTTCTACAGACAAAGGTTCTTCTGCGTCTTCTGTTGTTGCCTATCATCATTCTTTAACAAAGAGGCCTTGCTTTGGAACTCTTTCACCTTCTTCACCATCCTTGCCTGGCTTTCACAAAGGTGGGCTTCAAGTTTATTTTTATATTCTTTTATTCGAGCACTATTAAATTATGTAAACATAGTGGTCCAATATTTTAGTAGATATGGGTATTGGAATTCTACACGTACGTCTGAGAGATTTTTCAGTGTGACCGTTACACGAGGTGGTACACCACGTGTTTCTATATAAATGTTAGGTTATATGTGTTAAAAGGTTAATAACTTAAAAATTAAAATCCACTTGCATAAAAACAGGTAGTGTACCATCTGTGTTCCCGTCACAACTAAAAATTTCTCAAATCGTTTGAATTTGAAACTGCTCCTACCGTTACTGTAATAGTTTTGGATATTTCACCAAATGATCTATGAAATTGACCTTCTATCAAGATGGTCCATGAAATTGAATATCGATCAATGTAGCCCCGAAAATGAGCGTCACAATTCAACGTGGTACTTTCATTAAAAGTTTTATTGAATTGTTACGGAAGAATTGTATTGATTTGCGACACTCATTTTCAGATTACATTATCGATTCTCAATTTCAAAAATTATTTGTGATAAAAATACTAATAATAATTAAAAAAAAATCATTAACACGTAGGCACATGGAAATGTCAAATAGTGGAGTGACTACTTATTCGTCATCCTCTGTATTCTAGCAATTGAAACGCATGAGTTTTATTTCTAAGGAATTGTAATAGTTTGGTCAAAATAAATGTTGATGTGTGATTTTTGCTTATTTCTTCAGATTCAAAAGATAAAGTTCCACACTTGATTCAAGCCGTGCAGGTTTCAACGAATTCATCCTCCGTTACACAACAAGCCGTGCTTGAAAATGAAGTCGAACAGGTTGAGTTGCTCGCTGCAGTTGAGGATTTATATGGAGGAGTTGCTGTGGACGTGACCAAACCTATGGATTCTGTAGTTTTTGCTTCTTTGCTTCAAGCTTCCATATTGCAATGGAGGCAAAAGGTTTGTATTCGTTGCTTTTGTTGTATGCCTATTTGATTGAACGATCTAGGGTTTAGAGAGAGAAGAGATATTGATTTAATTGAGATGTGTGTTTGATTCACCCAATTATGCCTTTATTTATAGTAGTAGGATAGGTAAAAAAAATTCCCTTTAGAATTACAACATTTAATAGGTAATCTACTCATAATAAAAATATAAGATACATTGCCGGATTCTTTAGGATTTACACAATCACATTCATATTCTAAATATGACTGCAACACTTCTCATTGAGTGTGTAAATACTCAACAAACCATTGCATCAAATCTTCAGCAGATAAGTTAGAATAATTGATGAAGTTATCGGTCCAACGGGTGATCGTGAGTCTCAAATTTAAGTGAAGTATGCATTTATAGTAAAACTCACAAAAACCTCGCTATAGTAAAACTCAAGGCATGGGGAAAACCTATAGACTAAAAAGAAAAGTGAGAAGTATGCATAATGTCTAAAACAAACGTCAAATAGGACGAAAATAGTGAACTCAACGGAGTATGATCATCTCAGGATGGGTGCCTCATTAAAACCTCGTTAGGTAGTAAAAACCCAGTGGGAAAAATGCTCCTAATCGTAGGAAAAAGAGTACATTAAGATCATGTAAGTATGCTTCTAGATACTCCACTGAGTTAGACATAACTTTTAAATAAGAGAACTACAAGCGATTCAACTCAGATAATTTACGCATACCGATTCCTTGGACGAGCTTTTGAAAGGAAATGACTTGGTGAAAAGATTGGTCAGGTTGTCTTGGGAACGGATTTGCTTGACTTTAATGTTCTGATGCTGCTAGTGTGAGTAAAAGAACTTTGGCGCTATGTGCTTGGTGTTGTCTCCCTTGATGTATCCATTCTTTAAGTGCTCGATACATGCCGCATTGTCTTCAAAGATCGTCGTATGAAGGTCAACGACTGATGTAAGACCACTAGTGATTCGAATATGTCCCATAACTTCTCTTAACTAGAAGCATTCACGCGATGCTTCATGCAGGGCGAGAATCTCAGCATGGTTAGACGAAGTCGCAACTAGCGTTTGTTTGGTAGATCTCCAAGATATAATGGTGTCTCCAACGGTAAAGACATAACTCGTTTGAGAACTTGCTATATGTGGGTCAGATAGATATTCAACATCTGCGTAACCAAGAAGTCGAGAATCAATCCGAGGACCATAGGGGGCGGCAACACTCGGAGATTCGTGGGTATAGAACAAGCCCAAAAGTGTAGTACCCTTGAGGCAGCAGAAAATGTCTTTAACACCATTCTAGTACCTGCGTGTGGGCGCATTGCTATATCTTGCCAAAAGATTCACAGCGAATGAGATGTTGGGTATAGTGCACTGAGCTAACTACAATAAAGCCCCAATTGCACTTAGGTAAGGAACTTTGGGTTCCAAAATCTCTTCCTTATCCTTCTTTGGACGAAAGGGATCTCGTTTAGCATCTAGAGTCCGAACGACCATGGGTGTACTCGAAGGTTTTGCTTTATCTTCATTAAAATGACGCAACACATTTTGGGTGTAGTTTGATTGATGTACTAGGATTCCATCCGAACAATGCTCGATCTCCAGGCTGAGATAATATCGAGTTTTCCCAAGATCTTTCATCTCAAATTCCGATTTCAAGTGTGCAGCAATTTCCTCAAGCTCTGCGGGAGTCCTATTGAGGTTCATGTCATCGACATAAACTGCAACAATTGCAAATCTAGAATGTGACTTATTTATGAACACGCATAGGCATAGTTCGTTGTTCACATAACCCTGACTTGTCAAATATTCACTCAGACGGTTATACCACATCCACCCAGATTGTTTCAATCTGTAGAGTGACCTCCTTAACTTAATTGAGAGAGTGTTTCGTGGTCTAGAACTATTTGAACCAGTCAATGGAAGTCCTTCTGGAACTTTCATGTAAATTCATAATGGAGGTATACCTACTGCACATGAATCTAGGCTCCCTTTTGTTCTGAACATATATGACATGTAAAAATGAAAATTTAAATTGTTGAGCAAAAATTGTACACAATATGTAAACAAATAATTCACTCAATACAATTTCACCCTCGTTCATTTCTTGAAAAGGGTTTTATTAATTCGAGTTCGACCCATTCTAGGCTACGCACCTATTAATTACAACCCTTCCTTTGGGAAAGGAATACCCTTTGATTCTAATATGAATAAATCGTAACTTGGGGATTTAGATGTTTATTTGATTTTTGTGACTGTACCTAGGTAGAGCTCTAGATTGCCTACGTACCCTCGTTGAGGGATCAAGTCACTCGTAGTTCCTTGGTATTTGGTACTTGTTTGGTTTTGATGCCTTGTTGCAGTTTTAGCTCGTGCGGGCGAGGACTTTGAGCCATTTGAGCATTAATGCCTTGTGCAGTTTTAGCTCATGCGGGCGAGGACTTTAAGTCATTGGAGCGTTAATGCCTTGTGCATTTTTAGCTCATACGGGCGAGGAGCAACTGATGCCTTGTGCAGTTTTAGCTCATGCAGACGAGGACTTTAAGCCGTTGGAGCGTTTCATTTGGCTTCATGCCATTTGAGATTTTTCTTCAGCTTCATGCCTTTTGGGATTTGACGCGGCTTCATGCCATTTGAAATTTGATGTGGCTTCGTGCCATTTGTAACTTGAAACGGCTTTGTACCATTTGAAACGGCTTCGTGTCATTCGTAATTTGAACCGGCTCGCTTCTCTTTTATTCTTCATAGAATTTGTAATTACTTGGTCAAAGTAACAGAAGTGAATTTAGTTTATATAAATCAGGGATTCGTCTTGATTTCACGGTTGCGTCTATAATTTGATATCAGACTGCCTACGTATCCTTAACGGAATCAAACCGGCGTAGTTCATAACTTGATTTCATGGTTGTATCTGAAAATTGATATCAAACTGCCTATGTATCCTTAACGGAATCAAACCAGCGTAGTTCGTAATTTTTTTTAGACTCATCATGACTTTGTGTTCAAACTTGGCAAAATGACAAGCCGATTGGATTTATTTAAACCCAATATATGACCTTCGGTAATGGCCTAATAGGCTTCGTGAAATAGGACTTTGATTTTCTTTTCCTTAAGCAGCTCAGGACTTGAAGACATAAAGTGGGACTTGACGACTTGTCTTGCTACACTTCTTTTCTTCCTTCCCTTTTTATTTTAAGTTTGGAATCCAATAGACTTTTGAGAAGAATTAAATACAGCCACTTGTTTATTTTCTTGAAGCCAAGTCTTTGAAATGACTTTTTTTTTTTTTCCCTTCGGTTTCCACGTAAGCATCAATTCCCAATTAATTTGAGAATTTTGTTCACAGCAAACTTCTGATCTCTTCCCCCTTTTTTTATATCTTTCTTTTGAACTTTCAAATCCATTTAAACATGAGATTTTGAACCCATTTGACCCAAGTCTGTCTGACAGCAAGCTTTACTCCTTTTTTTTTATGTGACTTTAAAGGTTTCCAAGTTCCAATAGGACTTGTCTTTCAATTTCAACAACTTGACTTCTTCTCCACATGAGCAACATTCCCACGTGATGAGCAACTTTTCCTTCTTTTATTTGCCTTCCTTTTCATTTACTTTTGTCTTCATATTCAATTAATGAGGCCATGCTCAGAATGCCCACGTGAGGAGTATGAAGGTGTGTTCTTTTATTTATTTTCTTTCCATTGTAGCTTCCATCCTCCTTTATTTCTTGGACAAAAGGCATAAAGGCAGCCACTGACATCATTCAGGGGTCTTTGCCTTGTTTCTTTGGAGCAACTCCACCCTTGGAGCCCTCCCCCTAGCAATCCATTATTGAATCCACCCTATTGAACAGTAATTGCCTTTAATGAATAGTAACTGTCATTAATTAACAGTAATTACCTTTTGCATTTCTACCCTTAGAGCCCTTCCCCCTGACAATAGGTAATAAAATATTAGTTTTTTTTGTTTGTTTAAATAATACAAAATAAAAAAAAACATGGAAATGGGGCTGCAGGCCCTCGGGCTGACACAAAAAAAATAAAAAAATGCCTGGCCCTCGGGCTGCAGGCCTGTCAATTCCCCACCCCCTTGTGCTCGGGCTCTCCAAGGCTGGAGGGTTGTCCACCGGGCCTCGAGCCCTTTCCTGGTGCCTGTCCCCCGAGCAATCCACAAGGGTGGACTTGCTCTTACATTTAGTTTAGCCTCATTTTTAAATATGCTTTTGTTGAGACTTTTCTAATTGTAGGAAGATATCATTTCCCTTTTTTTTATTTCACTATTGATGCTTGCTGTCAAACTTATGCGATGAACGAGATGCTTTCTTTCTTCTTTCTTTCTCTATTTTCTAGTCTCTACTGTAGCTTTCTTTGTTTTGTTGTACCAAATTTAATGGGATCTTTAGAAAAGACATACAACAAAACAGCAGCTTTGGTCCTTGGAATTACAATGGAGTGCTTTGTTCATCTGTATCACTCTTTCACTTTTCATATTTGTACGAGAAGAAAATAAAAGAACGTCGATCAGTAGAGGTCACTCTCCTTTCATTTGCTGCAATCATCAGAGTCAATGGTTTATTTCCCCAAGTGAGTACTTCAAACAAAAAGGGCAGGATGACTCTCTTTTATGCTATTTGTGAAGAACTCGCAGTTGTTAGCTGGACTTTCTCCAGGACTTGTCACCAAGGAAGGAGCATAACACTCTCTATTGCAATAACAGAGGAATGTTGTGGTCATCGCTGCTTGGCAGCTACGTTGTCACTTTGCACGGACTGTTGCATCTTCGCTTGCCTTTAACTCTTTCTTTCTTCATACTTTCACCATTTGTGGGAGTGATGACGAAGCAATGGAAACACTATGTCTGTCCACTATCTTATAACCATCATCTGCGACTTGGTGCCTAGAACTTTTGAAGTTGTCCCTTGGTTATTTTTTTACGAACCAGGACTGCACGTCTTTGGCTACTCGATGACGACTCGACGATCTTCTTCCTTACTAGGATCAAGTCTTTTCTTCCACTTCCAGTCCTCTTTCTCCAAGCGGTGACTGCAGTTTTTTTTTTTTGTTCTACGCTATGGCTGCGTCTTTGTCCCTCGTGATTTGCTTGCTG